GGGGGGGGGGGGGTGGACTCAAAAGGGTAAGACAGAGAACCACTGTAAAGGCGTACGCCCCAGACTATCTTTTTTTAAAACCAATTCTTCCTTCCAGTTTGTAGGCATGATCATGCACCGTTGGGGAACGTTCCTTCATCTCATGTCTAGCACCAGAATCGACTGGTTTAGCGGAGCACATTCGGACGAAGATTTTGCTAGGTATGTATTCAGCTCCAAATCATACAGTTCATTCCAGACAATTTATATAAAAGTCTCATATGCGATTATATCCCTTATGATATTGTAACACTTTATGTCTCATCTCCGCATTTTTTTAACTTCCAAAGTCACTCAAGGTTCCCATTCACTACTGCCCCCCCCCCCACTACTCACCATATTGCAATGCAATAGCAACACTTTCACTCTTCTCAGGGTACCTACGAATAGAGACTATCTCACTTTTGTTTATAGTTTGCGATTTTGGCATCGTTTCACATTTAATTATTAAAAGCATATTTATTTAATTAGGCTTGCTTACGATCCATCTTTCAGGTTGCATATTGTCGACATAGTTGATAACCTAAAGTTTAAAATAAATCCAACAGGTTTGTAGTTCACGAGATGCAGAGAATTCAACGGCTTGAACCAGTGCCAGACTATGAAGACAGCAATGGTGATGAAGAAGACGATGACGACGATTTGGGCAGTCATTTACCATCTGATATCGAAGATGAGATAACGGACGACATATTCTCTATACCGGAGAGCACCCGTAGTCGGCGCACAGCGAACCCGCCGGTGAGATTTTCATCAATTCTAACAAAGTCTTCGTCTCACGTCTGACTTTGGTACTTTTTTTTCTTTCTTTTCTTTTTCCTTCCGCTTGTTCCATTGGCTGTCGCGGGGAGACACAGGCATCTGTCTGCAGCAAAGCGAGTGGCTTGTAGGAGGGACATCCCGTGAGCTCTGAGGGTGTCTGCCATAGATTCTGTTTTGATCAGTCCATTTGTGCCTCCTTTTATTATAGGAAGAGGCTAGCCGTACTTAAGTACGGCTAGACTGCCAGTCTAGCCGTACTTATTCTTAATATGATGGCTAGAC